TCACCCTGTTAGCCTGTGTGCCTGTTGCTAAGTGGTGAAAGCGTCAGCCCACACAACTAAGAGTCTCAACTAAGATCTCAGGTACATTGATGTTTTTCTTTCTCTCTCTCCCCCACCCTCAGCTCCGGTCCACTCTCTCTGAAAAGCATTGGGAAAAATATCCTCAGGTGAGGATTAATAAACAAAATTTAAAAAAAATTTAAAAACCTATATATATAAAAGGCTAATATGCAAAGTGTCCCCTTGGGAGTTCCACCAGGAGTTCAATTGCTTGCTATGATGTGTGCTGACCCCCAAGGGGCAGCGCAAAACAAAGGAAGGCCCTGATCACCAGCCAGGCAGGCCTAGGGATTCTATCCATATATGACTTTCGTGCACCAGGTCTCTAATATTTCAATAAAGCCCTAGCTGGTTTGGTCCAGTGGCTAGCATGTTGGACTGTGGACTGCAGAGTCCCAGGTTTGATTCCAATCAAGGGCACATGTTGTGGGCTCAATTCCCAGTGTGAGTGTGCTCTTTTTAAAAAATATTTTAGCCAGTGCTGAAACCAGTTTGGCTCAGCAGTGGATAGAGCGTCGGTCTGCGGACTGAAGGGTCCCAGGTTCTATTCCAGTCAAGGGCATGTACATTGGTTGTGAGCACATCCCAAGTGGGGAGTGTGAAGGAGGCAGCTAGTTGATGTTTCTCTCTCATCGATGTTTCTAGCTCTCTATCCCTCTCCCTTCCTCTCTGTAAAAAAATCAATAAAATATATTATTTTAAATACATATATATATATATATATATATATATATATATATATATATATTTTTTTTTTTTTTTTTTTTTCTTAATATGCCCTGGCCAGTTTGGTTCAGTGGAAAGAGCGTCCACCTGTGGATTGAGGGGTCCTGGGTTCGATCTGGCCAAGGGCACATGCCTGAGTTGTGGGTTTGATCCCCAATGGGGGCATGCAGGAGGCAGCCAATGGATGGTTCTCTCTCATCACTGATGTTCCTATTTCTCTCTTCCTCCCTCTCTGAAATCAATAAATATATTTTAAAAAATACGTTAGTAAAAGTTATTAAAAAACTGGACTGCATCAAAATTAAAAGCTTTTGTACTGCAAATGATTACCATCAAGAACATGAAAAACAACCCACAGAATGAAAGACGCAAATAAGGGACCATATCCAATCTATAGTGATAAAAGTATATGTTAATTAGACCAGACAGCCAAATGAAGCTGGGGTGCGAGGGCCTGAGACCCTTGCACAAATTTCGTGCATTGGGCCTCTAGTATAAATAAATAAATAAATAAATAAATAAATAAATAAATAAATATATCTCGGGGGGGGGGAGGTTCAGGGTGGAGGTGAATGAGGAGAAAAGGAGGGACATTTGTAATACTTTCAACAATAAAGATAAATTTTAAAAAATAATTCTCTTACAACTCAATAATAAAAGACAAATAATCCAATTTTTAAATGGGCAAAGCACTTGAATAGACATTTCTCCAAAGATATATGAATTAGCCAAAAAGCACAGATACTCAACATTATTAGTCATCAGAGAAATGCAAACCAAAGTCATTTCACATTCACCAGATGGCCAGAAGAAAAGAGGCAAACCAAAAAAAGACAAACATCAGCTATAAAGATGGAGAAACTGGAATCCTTATACTTTGTATATAAAATAAGGTAGCCACTTTGAAAAATAACTTGTCCATAATGTCCACGCAAAAATCTATACACAAATGTGCACAGCAGTTTTATTCATAGTAGCTAACAAAGAGAATGACCCAAATGTCCATCAACTGATGAATAAATATATATAAAATGTAGTAGGTGTATACACAAAATGGATTATTCAGAAAAAAAAGAAAAAAAAAGAAATGATGCCCTGGCTGGTGTGTTCAGTGGTTAGAGCACCAGCCTATCCACCAAAGGGTCTTAGATTTGACTCCCAGGCAAGGGCTTGCTTGTACCTGGGTTGCAGAGTCAATCCCCATCCCCATGGTCATGGCACATTCAGGAGGCAACCAATCGATGGCTTCTCTCACATTGATGTTTCTCTCTCCTCCTCCCTTCCTTCTACTCTCTCTTAAAATAGAATAAAAATATCCTCGAGTGAGGATTAAAAAAAAAAAAGAAAGAAAATAACCAAGGAGCACATGAAAAGATGCTCAATACATTAGTCATTAGGAAAATCAAAACCACAATGAAATGCCATTGAAAAAAAGAAAACATAGAAAGTAACAAATGTTGGCAAGGAAATTGGACCCTTTTACGTTGTTGGTGGGAATGTAAAACAGCAGGGCAGCCATGGAAAACCGTGTAGCAGCTCCTCAACAAATTAAACATAATTACCATGTGACCCAGCAAGCCCACTCCTAGGTACAGTGTATCTCCAGAACAGAAAACAGATGTCCTAACAAATGTTCTTAGCAACACTCCTGGCAATAGCCAAAAACTGGAAATTATCAAAATGTCCATCAGGTTTATTTATCTTGATCTTGGTAACTCATACCAAATACACACACACACATGAAGTCAGCACCTTTACACACTTTAAATATAATACAATTTATTTGTCAATTATTCCTCAATAAAAGATTGGGATTTTTTTTTTTTTTTTTTTAAATCCTCACCTGAGGATATTTTTCCCATGGCTTTTACAGAGTAAAAGGGAGGGAGACAGATAAGTTGCATAGAGGCAGGGAGGCACGTGCCTTCTAATCACTGAGCCCTCCAGCAAAGGTAGGGAGGGCGTTTCTTAAGTCCATCAACTGATGGATAAAGGAAATGTGGTCAATTTAAACAATAAAATGTACTCAGCCAGAGAAAGGAATCAAGTACTGATACATGCGACCACATGGATGACTCTTGAAAACATTATGCAAAGTGAAAGCCATACACAACCCCACCACCCCCGAAAAGGCCACATGGTTGTTGTTTTTTATTATTATTATTTTATTGATTTTTTTTTTTTTTTCAGAGAGGAAGGGAGAGGGATAGAGAGTTAGAAACATTGATGAGAGAGAAACATTGATCAGCTGCCTCCTGCACAGCCCCCACTGGGGATGTGCCCGAAATCAAGGTATAATACATGCCCCTAGCCGGAATCGAACCCGCGACCTTTCAGTTCACAGGCCCACGCTGTATCCACTGAGCCAAACCGGCCTCGGCAAGGCCACATGTTTTATAAGTCCATTTGATGAAATATCCATTCTAGAGAAATCCAGAGACAGAACAGTGGCTGCTAGGGAGTGAGGGGAGGGAAATGGGAAGTGAACTTAATGGATATGAAGTTTCTTTTTAGGGGGATGGAACACAAGGACTAAAACAAGACCACCGGGATGTGTGCACAACCCTGTAAAAGCTGTACACACTGAATTGGGAGCCTTACAATGACAAATGATGTTTTCTTACACAATGCTTTAGAAATACTGATACATGCTTCAACATGGATGATCCTTGAACATATTATACTAAGTTAAAGAAGCCAGTCACCAAAGTCCAAATTTTGCATGATTCCATTTACACGAAATGTCCCAAATAGGTAAATTTATAGTAGCGGCGTTAAATCGATCAGTGATTGCCTGGAGCTTGGGCATCAGGGGGGGAGGGAAGGGGGAAATGAGTGCCAATCTAACAGGGCTTCTTTCAGGGGGCCCTAAATGTCTTAAAACCAGATTGTGATGATGGCTGGATAACCCTGTGTATACATAAACAAAAAAAAACACTGGACTCTACATTTCAAAGTGAATCGTCTATGTGAATTATATCTCCATGTTTAAAAAAAACAAACAAAAAACAAAAACCCTGCTTGGGTGTGTAAAGTTTGCAACCGCAGCTAAAAACTCATCCTCTCTCTGACATCCACCTTCTACTGATCTCAGCCAATTTCTACTCCTTTCCTCCCGGGAAAATCAGAACTACGTGAAAGTGCATACACTTTTTGGTTGCTCTGGAGCCTAATTGTGTTGAGAGGACGACCGAGCTTGTTAATAAATTCTATTACACAGGCCCTTCTGGTGGTCCCAGCACTCACTGCTGGAGTCAGATCTGCCCTCCCTGTGAGGCCGGCGCCCAGAGCTGGGACGGCTTCCTTTTCCTTATGGAAGTTTCCTAACTTTGTCTGGCTTCTGCAGCCAGACTGGAAGCTCCAGAGCGGAGACCTTGACTCCCATTCCTTCCGGATCCCGCCACCGAACGCAGAAACCAGAGAGCCCGCTGCAAGGCGGCTACTGAGCATGCCCGGCTCGGCCAAGTCAATGCAACAACATTCCGGAACAAAAACTATAGTTCCCGCGTGAAAAGGTGGAAAAGCAGAAGAGTCGGGCACAAAGCCCAAGGATTCGATCTAAAAAGAAAGGCAAGGTTCAGAGGCTGAGCAAAGGGAAGGGCAAAACTTGCACAACTCAAACATCATACTTGGTAGAGAGAGTCTGAAAGACAAAAAAAAAAGGGGGGGGGGGAAGACACGCTAAAAAAAATACTAGATTCACGAAAGAAGGGAGGTCACCAGGAGGACGAAGAGCACCGATGACAAGGGTAACCATACGTTTTTCCAAAGCAAGCCTACCCAAAAGTAACACGAAGATGACCAATGCTTCAGCGTCAACACTCACGCAGGATGCGCTGTAACGAGGGAGGCTCACTCCGAAGTAGTTCCCTTTTACAAACAAAAAGCCGAGCCGTGGCCAAGACATCCCACCAAGGTTAGCTGAGCTCTGGGCTCCTGCCTTTAACCATTTCCCCCGCCATCTTCTAGGGAAGAGCCCAGAACCCTTGCAGATGAGCTTTCAGCAGCATCACCGCCGCGCAGAGCCCGGGCAGCCTGCGCTTCCCAGGTCGCCCGGACGGCGGAGAGGAGGAAGCCTCCCCCCGCCGGCTCCTCTCCGCTCCTGCGGGATGCACGCGACCGGCCGCCGTCCTCCTCCCCCCAGCCCGACCCCCAGCCCTGTTTTGCAAGGTCCGACGCGATGGAGGGTCGCAAGCCCGGTGCACGGGCCTCACCTGCACACGCCGCGGATGCAAGGCTCCAGCCAGATGCGGTAGGCGGTCTCGATGTGCTCCTGCGACACCTCCTCGGGCCGCACCGTCTCCGCCCAGCGCCAGGCGGCCTTCTCCAGCTGCAGCCGCGGGGCCATGGCCTTGGCCAGAGGAGGAGCGCCTCCGCAGTCGGGCTCCCGCTGCCGCCTCCGCAGCCGCCCAACTGGGCTCCGCCACCTGCCAGCGATGAAGACCAGACGCTCCCTCAGCCAGCTGGCCAGTCAATCACCTGCGCGCGCCACGGCCGCCGCGCCCGCCCGCGCCCGCCCGCGCACGACCGGCCGCAAAGCACCGCCGCAGACACGCGACACTGTCTCCCCCCGCCCCTCGCTCCCGCAGACGTTGGAAAGTACTCCCCACCCGGATGGGCGCATGCGCGTTCCCAGCAGCCTTTGCGCCTCCCGCGCCTCGAAGCTGACGGGCGGAGGAGAGGCGAGTGGTTGTCAGAGAGAGTTCTGCCGCGTCCTCTTCAGCGCCGCCGGAGAAGCAGCGTCTCTGCCCGTGTGCAGGGAGGCGTCCTGTGTACCGCTACCCTGACAAGTCGGCGCCGCGAGGGCTAAAGGCTGCCTATTCTTGCCTTCTGGTCCTCCCCCGTTTAACCGTGAAGGAATCACGCGAGAGGCTACTCAACGCACACCATAGGTCCGCTGTACTGTGGGGTGGGGCCTGACACCGGGTCACCAAAGAAACCAGGCTCTGCTCTCTAGAGGAAGATTTGACTTGAACCTGGACCGGTTCCGACTCCCTTTCCCGAGCCCTCCTGACGTCACGGGACGTTCGGGGCCTTTTCCTGAACTGGAACCGGACTACAGGTCCCGGCGTGCACTGCGCGCTGCCACTCATTGTATTCGAGGCATGCTGGGATTTGTAGTCTTGGAGGGAGAGCTTGATGTGCCTGGGATTTTGCAGAGGCGCACAGTGAGGGCGGGGTCACCTTTATAGCACCTGACTCTCTACAAAGCTATTGTCGGTATAAGATAACTTATTTCTTGAAGCTCTTCTCTAGCCCCAGGGTTTAAAAACAGTCCCTTTTTTTTTTTTTTAAACTTCTGCCTCAGGATATAAAGAGCCTTATCAGAATGTTTTGCAAACTCAAGGGCAATGCTTGAGTGAGGATTTTGAGAACATTACATTTGAATGAGAGCTTTATGGAGTCTAAGCACTAATTCCTGAATTTGACTGTATTCTAACCAGTGCTAATCAGTAGACATTCAGACATTCCCTGAAGGCAGGATGAAAATAAGACCTGGCCTCTGCCCTTGGAGATGGGTAAGGTGAGAGGAGTAGAAATACAAGATCCTCTTCCCAGCTTCGGAAGGTTTGGAGTACTTGGGAGAACCGGGTTTCCCAGAAGAGGTAACTCTTAAACTCATCCTTAAAAGATGAGTAGGATTTAGCCAGCTAGGAGAAAAGCTACTTTCCAGATAAAGAGAACAGCAAGGAGCTAAGGCACAGAAGAGAGAAATTTCCTGGTGTGAGGCTACAAATCCTGAGTCTTGAAGAGGTGAGAACTAAGGCTTGAGAGGCAGGCCTATACTGTCTTTATTTGAAGTACTCAGACTGTTTATTTGAAGTACTCAGACCAACGTCATCAAATTGTATCAATTTTTAAAAATATATTTTAATAGAATTTTTTTAAAGAGGAAGAGAGAAAAACATTGATCGGCTGCCTCTTGCACACCTCCTACTGGGGATGTGCCTGCAACCAAGGTACATGCCCTTGACTGAAATTGAACCTGGGACCTTTCAGTCCGCAGGCCGATGCTCTGTCCACTGAGCAAAACGGGTTTCGGCAAATTGTATCAATTATTTATTGTAAATATCTTTCAAAATTTTCTTCTCACTCTATACCTAAGACACTGCCCCTTATATATAGCCTTGATCCAGAGGGAAGAAGCTACACAAAAATGTAAATTTTCCATATATCATTCACCATCTTTAAATCTGAGTCCTTCAAATAAACAGTCTTGGCCTGCAGACTGAAGGGTCCCGAGTTTGATCCTGTCAAGGGCACATTGATGTTTCTGTCTCCCTCTCCCATCCTCTCTGAAATAAAAAATGTATTTTTTTTATTTATTATTATTTTTTTTAAATATATTTTATTGATTTTGTACAGAGAGGAAGGGAGAGAGATAGAGGGTTAGAAACATCGATGAGAGAGAGTCATCGATCAGCTGCCTCTTGCACACCCCCTACTGGGGATATGCCCGCAACCAAGGTACATGCCCTTGACCGGAATCGAACCCGGGACCTTTCAGTCCCCAAGCCGACGCTCTATCCATTGAGCCAAACCCGTCCCGGCTTTTTTTTTTTTTTAAAGAAAAAGAAACAACACACCCAAGATGGAGTCACTTTGGTAAGCCCCACCAACACTTAATACTGACAGGCTTAGTTTTATTGCAGTTTCCTTTTTTGTTGTTATCCTCACCTGAGGCTATTTTTCCATTTATTTTTTGGGAGAGTGGAAGAGAGAAACACATCCATTGGTTGCCTCCTGCATAAATCCCATCCAGAGCCCCAGGCTGCAGGGAGGAGCCTGCAACCAAGGTATGTGACCTTGATGGGAATCAAACCCGGGACCCTTTAGTCCTCAGCAGGCCGATTCTCTAGCTACTGAGTGAAACTGGCTAGGCCCTAGCAGCGAGGGTGAGCTTTGCTTTATTGCACTTTACAGATGTTGCTTTTTTATATAAATTGAAAGCAAGACCCTCCAGAAAAAAAGATTACACTAACTTTATTGCAGTGCTCTGGAACTGCACCCTCAATATCCAAGATATGTCTGTACCTGCAGTTTCAGCCTCTTCCAGGAATTGATTTTTTTTTTTTTTAGAAAATTGATCTTAGAGAGAAAGAGGGAAAGAGAAAAAAAAAGAAAGAGGGAAAGAGAGATGTGACAGAAACTTCAAAACTTCAATCAGTTGCCTTCTGCATTCACCCCTATGAGGAATTAAACCACCCACACCTGTCCTTGGGAAATGGAATATTAAACCAATCAGTCTGGAATTAGCTGGTCAGTCCTAGTGAGGATTACCTGTTAAAACCCCTCGCCTTTCCCTCAGGGCAGGTAACCTTGCCTGAATGAATCCACTGAACTTCCTTGTCCCACCCTCTCTCTGCCTATACTGGTTTACCATTGTGTTTCACTTTATCCCATTTCCCAAATGTTGTTTTCTTACACATTGAAGGCTAGAACCTCCACTAGCAAGAAATTTACAATTTATTGTGATACTTGCTTTACTGGGGTAATCTTGGAATCAAACTTGTACTGCCTCTGAGGTGCGCCTGTAAAACCTACCAATTCATGCAACTAGTCCCTTCTAGTTGTTAGGTGAGGTGCTGCCCAATTCATAAATGGTTTTCTAATGACAATTAGGTCTTCAGATCAGCTCAATTGAATTTTGTTTTTTAACAATGCCAAGTGAGGTAGATACTGCAACAAAGGCTCTGGATGGTTTGGCTCAGTGGATAGAGCATTGGCCTGTAGACGAAAGGGCCCTGGGTTCAATTCCGGTCGAGGGCACATGCCAGGGTTATGGGCTTGATCCCCAGTATGGGGTGTGCTGGAGGCAGCCAAGCAATGATACTCATCATTGATGTTTCTATCTCTCCCTCTCCCTTCTCTGAAATAAAAAATATTTTTTAAATGCAATAGTTTCCAAACATTTAAAAAAAAAAAAAAAAAAGACGATGCAGGTTTAGAAGGTAGATGATGATTTCAATTTTTTTAAATATATTTTATTGATTTTTCACAGAGAGGAAGAGAGAGGGATAGAAACACCAATGAGAGAATCATTAATCAGCTGCCTCTTGCACACCCCCCACTGGGGATGTGCTCGCAACCAAGGTACATGCCCTTGACCGGAATTGAACCCGGGACCCTTCCCAAAACCCCTCCCCACACACTTGGGTTAAATTAATTCGCTAGAGTGGCTCACAGAACTCAGAAACATTTTAACTACTAATTATCGATTTATTAGAAAAGGAACAAACTCAAGAGCAGCCAGTTGGAGGAGAGGCATTGGGCAAGGCATGCGAAAAGGGGCAGAGTTTCCACACCCTCTTTGGGTGCATCACCCACCCAGCACCTTCACAGTTTGCCAACCAGGAAGCTCTCGGAACCTTGTCCTTTTGGGGTTTGGGGGTTTCATTACATAGGCATGACTGATTAAATCATTGGCCATTGGTGATGGGATTTCCAGCCCCTTAATCTCCCCTCCCCAGAGGTAGAGCTAGGCCTGCAAGTTCCAGTCCTCTAACTATGGTCAGTTCTAGCAACCAGCTCCCACATTCTCAGGTTACCCAAGGGGGCTTTCCTGAAGTCAATGCATTAACATAAATTTGTGTGGTTGAGAGGGGCTTATTTTTTTTTTAATTTATTTTATTAACATATTTTTTTATTGATTTTCCACAGAGAGGAAGGGAGAGGGATAGAGAGCTAGAAACGTCGATGAGAGAGAAACATCGACCAGCCGCCTCCTGCACACCCCCTATTGGGGATGCGCCCGCAACCAAGGTACATGCCCTCGACCGGAATCCAACCTGGGACCTTTCAGTCTGCAGGCCGACGTTCTATCCACTCAGCTAAACCGGTTTCAGCATGAAAGGGGCTTATTATGAGCCTGGCCAGTGTGGCTAAGTGGTTGAGGTTTGATCTGTGAATCAGGAGGTCACAGCTCAATTCCCAGCCAGGGCACATGGCCAGGTTGCTGTATTCTATTCCCAGTAAGGTACGTACAGGAGGCTGCTGATCAATGATTCTCATCATTGATGCTTCTCTCTCTCTCTTCCTTTCTGAAATCAATAAAAATATATTTATAAAAGGGGTTTGTTCTGAATAGCAAAAGATACCTTTTGGCTAGTGCCATTTTGGGGCTGAGCCCATCTGATTTCTAGATGACCTAATAAATTTATTTAAAAAATATATATTTTATTGATTTTGTACAGAGAGGAAGGGAGAGAGATAGAGAGTTAGAAACATCGATGAGAGTCATCGATCAGCTGCCTCTTGCACACCCCCTACTGGGGATATGCCAGCAACCAAGGTACATGCCCTTGACCGGAATCGAACCCGGGACCTTTCAGTCCCCAAGCTGACGCTCTATCCATTGAGCCAAACCGGTTTCGGCGACCTAATAAATTTATAATTCTTTACAAAAAAAACCCAAACCCTCATCTCTAATTGCTTCAGAAATTCCAAGGGTTTTAGGAGTTTTGTGGTAGGAATGGAGGAAGACCAAATATATATTTCTTATAAATCACAATATCACAGCTCTATCCACTAAGCCAAACTGGCTAGGGCCACACACTTACTCTTACTTACTGGATTACTGCCCTGTGCCAGACACTGTGCTATGACCTGGTGTCAGGGGCAGAATAGAATTTGGGGAGCTAGCTAAATATTAATCATGCTTTGTTAATTGTGATTGCTTTGTTCTGATGAAAGAAAGCACATTTTCACCTGCCTGGGAGTTAGTTGTACATCCTCTCTCCTCTCCCTCCCCCCTCCCACTACCCTCCCATTCCCTCACCCCTGACCTGGGACATAGGAGTCAACCTAACCCCTGGGGCCTGGGAGTTGACTTGCCCCTGGGAGACAACCTTGGAATGCGGTCCATTGTCATTCAAGAACTGTCTATTATC